CTACCAACTGAGCCACTGTTGTCCCTGTAGAGCGAGAACCACATTGTTTTAAGAATTAGTTACATGGATTTTATCACATAGTTAAGGTGCTCCAGCTTTAAATTTCAGAATAAATCTTGCCACCATTACAAATAACAAAACTTTGTTTTCTTCCAATCAACATGGTATTGATCAGCAAGACTTGCCTGGTGGGAAATGTATTTTGAAGTCCTCAAAATGTGTAAAGGGCTAAGAGCAGTGCTCTTACAATTTCCGGCTATCCAATATCAATTTTTAATTTGCTGCTCAAATGCAATCTACTCCAGATTTTAACCTGATCTAATGTGTTTCAACATGAGACACTATGGCCTGGAATAGAAATAATCGTGAATGCCCATAATCGTTAGGAAAGTTGTGCCAAATTTCCATAAAAAGCCTTTATATGTAAATGCCTGTGGCTCCGCAGCTTTCCTGTAAACCCACACTAATTTCACCTCTCCGGAGACCCAACAGGACTACAAATCTAATTCTCTATTGGCCATTAGACGACTATAAAGCTTTGTGTACAAGACTTAAAAGGCAGAGACCGTGGCGTACTTGTTTGTTCTTTGTTTTTTGAAAGGGTACGTAAATCTTTCATCAGTTTTGGGGGATAAACAAGGTCACACAAAAAGACATTGTACTCCTTCAGGTATAATATTTTGTAATATATTCTCACTTTCCAAACACATTTGTACATGCACTTTTGTTTGGTTTAAGTTGGATAGTGGATGTGAACCCGCATTGTTTAAACACACAATTGTAGTAGTTCTCATGCAAAACTCTAAAATACACAACAATTAGGGCTGGGCAATATAGGAAGAGCATTTATTTTCCTCTTATCTATCTTGATTTTTATTTTGAAGATTTTAAAGAGTTTATAAAAATGTTATATATACTTGTGCAAAGGCAGACGTTTAACTCTAATGATGCATAGGGAGGGAGGGATGGAGCGTGAGAGTGACAGGCGGATCGGTGCAGTGTGTGCAGTGATGCGGTTACTGTATCGGACCGTTGTGGTGAAGAGGGAGCAGCATCTGCAGTCAGAGCTGTATTGGACCGTTGTGGTAAAGAGGGAGCTGAGTCGAAACGCAAAGCTCTCTTTGTACTGGCCAGTCTACGTTCCCTCCCTCACCTATGGTCATGAGCTTTGAGTAATGACCAAAAGGACGAGATCGCGGGTACAAGAGGTTGAAAATGAGCTTCCTCCGCAGAGTGGCTGGGCGTTCCCTTAGAGATAGGGTGAGGAGCTTGGTCACACGGGAGGAGCTCGGAGTAGAGTTGCTGCTTCTCCACGTCGAGAGGAACCAGTTCAGGTGCCTCGGGCATCTGTTCCGGATGCGTCCTGGACGCCTCCCTGGGGAAGTGTTCCGGGCACGTCCCACCAGGAGGAGGCCCCGGGGAAGACCCAGGACACGCTGGATGTCTCTCAGCTGGCCTGGTAACGCCTTGGGGTCCCATTGAATGAGTTGGACCTTCCAGGGGATGTGAAGTGTATGTAGAAAAAGAAGTCTGGGCGTCTCCTTAGACTGCTGCCCCCGCGACCCAGCAACCAAGAAAGAAAATGATTCAACATTGAAACAAATTGAGAATGCGTTTTTCTGATAATTGCCTTTTTTGGCAGCGTCCTTACTATTCATTTTGCATCAAATTTACTATTCTATCTTTTAGAATATTTGGAAGCTACTATTGGGCAAAGGCACAGACAGCTGTTATGTTTTTGCAAAAATTTGTTATTTTTCTACAACGATTTGTAATTACCCTTAAGTATGGCACCACTAAGATAATGTGCGTGAATTGGTTTATCATTGAACCAAAACCTGCCTTGTTTTGTTGATTTTGTATTTTACCAAATTCAAATTTTTTTGCAATCAAAATGCACTTTTCAAACAAACCATTTTCAACCCAGTATTTCCCTGCAGTAATTGCTAGTTCTGCGTCCTTGAATATTCAAAATAATATTAGCAATTTTAATGCTATGTAGTAAATGACTGCTGGCCATGAAAATGTGAGTAAAACATATTTTAGTTTTCACTATCAGTGTTTATGAGTTCTAATCCCTCGTGACTGCTCTGCTTTGGGAGCAATCATTTTAAAGTAGTAGGAAAAGTGCCTGGGGTTTCATTTTGCACTTTGGGATTATCATGAACTTTTACAGCTGGAACAGTGTTATGTCAAAACTAAAACTGCACTTGATAAATAACAAAATCTTTCTCAAAATCTACTTTTTTGAGCTTTTAACTGGAGATGATCCAATCAAGCTTTTTCAAGTCCGATACCGGTCCCATTAGTTTTACCTGAATATGTGTACTGTGTGTTCTTAGTGTGCACTTGGACTCGTATATTGATTTTTTATGCATGCCTTTAATTTATTTGTACTTTAATCACTTTTTTGCACCATGATCCAACTCAAATAGCAGTTAACTTATTACAAATGGGTACAGGCCTGTATCAACAAAGTTGATCCTGCAAGAAAAAGTTACTCCTACTGTTCAGCATCTGAGACTGGACTAATATCAGTTTGTTACTTAAAAATAAAGGTCTACTCAACATATCACCTGCACCGATATCATTAAACCAATACCCAATCTAATAAAATGTCCAATATCAACACCGATATGTTTTGATTTTAACTATAGATGACATTGTTCCCTCTTTTTGTATTCAGCCTCATCAATGCTTGTTTCAGTAATCTTCTGTTCGTCCATTACAGCTGCATCCTCAGTGTTCATTCCCATTACCTTCAGGAAACTCTTTGTTTTCCTGTCAAATGTGTTTCAACACTCCCACACCAACAATTTATCCCACTTTTTTATACCACTGATGCTTTGACATAATTTTTGCCACTGGCTCAAATTGAAAGCCCATTAGCAATAAAATGGCATGAGATGCAACCTTGCCTTCTATTATTTAGCTTTTGAATATGTTAAAAACCAACTCTTTCCACAAACATTAGGCTGGAACAAAATACTAAATTGTGATGCTTTTGCACAGCAATTTTAAATAATCAGAATCAGAATATTTTTTATTGCCACGTAAGTAACAGGAAGTCACAGACTTGGAAATTGCTTTAGCTCAGTGCAACAGTCAGAAAGAGATAATACAAAATAAAGAATAAAAAACACTTCTAAGGAATGAATTTAAATTTAAAATAGAGTTACAGTTACTATTTACAATATACAAGTGCAAATGGTGCACACAATGTAAGGTGACAGCAGTACAGTGAAGTAAAGTGACGTATGATGGGCAGTAAAGTGACTTTATAAAGGGCGGAGGGACAGGTTAAGAAGTGTTCAAGAGTCCAACAGCAGAGGGGAAGAAGCTGTTCTTGTGGCGGGAGGTTCTAGTCCTGATGGACCGCAGTCTCCTGCCTGAGGGGAGTGGTTGGAATCTTATCTAATAAATTCCAATTTTGTTCAGAGTTGTGAAAAACATGTTGAAAGTATTGACTTATAGATATGTAAAATAAGAACAGGATGGGATACCAAATTTGCTTCCTCCATTTAAAAATCTTCAAAATAAACTGAAAGCCTTTTTTGTTGTTCTTTCTTTTCTTTAGTTTCCTTCATATTTCAAAAGATTTATGAACAGTTTTAATTTCTTGATATTGCACTGACCTGCTAGCTCATGTCAAGTTTATGCTTCAGCTATTGGTGGAAATGTCTCAGTTGCATCCATTCTGATAAAACATAAATAACCTCCACATATATTTTCAGCAATGGTTAGAGAAGCAATGATTCACTTGTTAACTGCCGGGAAGTTGGCCTCCTCCCTCGCGGTTTCTCTCCCACCTCCTACTCACAAAATCGCCACTGCCCAATGGATATGAGACAGAGCAGAACCTATCCTGAGAATTATTCTGGGTTAAAAGAGAAATATGTACTTAATGGTAACACATTCTCTGCTGATGGTTAGCTAGATGAAAATAGGCCGACTGGGTGTTCAAACAGAAATTGTATATTAATTGTGTTGCGGCTTGATATGATGTGAAGGTTGCTGATATAGTCTTGTAAGAAAGGTGAAATATCCTATTAATTATAATAGATCCTTGTTATAGTGACACTGGACACTCAATGACATTTCACATGGCATTATTCATTCACATCATACTCTGTGGTGTTAATTCCTACTTTAGCCATAACTGCCCTGGGGTAGACTGACAAAACTAAGGACACAATGACAGTTTAGCACTCTCCCTTCACACTAACCAGGAAATTTACCCTGATCAAATTAAACATTGTATTGAAATATGTATTGTATGGACAGACTCTGAAAGACACCCAGTTGTAAAGGTTGCAAATACGTAAGACTCTATTTAGCAGCTGTTGTGAGGCAGTTTGTCTCATGTTTATTGGCCATTCATGCATTCATTTAGTCTTTTATTTCTTATTCCCAAAAGGTGCTTTGGTTTATAGAAACATTAAGTAACATAAGAGTCTTAATAATACAGAATTGATTTACTTTTAAGTCATTCATCAACCATACGATACCTTTAACACCACTGCTTTTCATTTGCAACTGTATTATGTACTATTGATTGACTTACTAATTAGACCGCAGTAATAGCCTATAATGGGCACCAATCCGTTGCTGCATGAGCTGGCTAATATGATACATCCCCCACAAAAGTCAATAAAGTGCAACATGTTTCTCAATGCAGAAAATAATAGTCACTTTTATTATGTCTCCTTGGGAATGAGAGGAGGATCAGATATTAGCAATTACACTATTTCATCATGAAGACCTGAAAATACAGTGGACATTTTCTATTGGCCATTGAATTGTCGCCATGTAACAGTATCTAATATTGCTTTAAGCTCATATGTACAGGTTATATATGCCACCTGATCCAGCGACGCTAACCATTTCTCCTGCTCTGTAGCGTCTGATGCATTTAGCTTCCACAGAGAGAAGGATGTGAGCCCAAAACAACCCTGGATTGGCTTTCATCTAAAAATATTTCTTCTTGTGTGTTATGCCAGAAGTCGAGGAGGTGTCCCGCCCCTCCATGCTGCCGTGCCCAGAGGAGCAGCACCCAGGGGAGCCGTCTCCAGGGGGGCCCGGGGCGTGCAGAGAGCCAGAGGTGCCCCGCCAGCTACCGGGTACAGGCCGGCTCCTCCGGTAGTGCAGGAGACGTATGGAGAATATGTGAGTGCTTACAAAGATGTCATTCAATTTAATTTATTCTTGTATTGCCCTAAATCACAACAGTAGTTATCTCGGAGGACTTTACCCAACCATTAAATTCACCAACACAGATCAGTGAATCAGACAGCTCAAACACAAGAAATAAAACAAGAAACACATTGGTTTTGGTCCATAAAGGGCAGATGACCAATGTCCATAAGTGTTGATAGATGTCATGACATTGCAGATTAAGCTGAGGGTGGAAAAACCTGCAACATAAAGAAATTATGTATACAAAATTATGTTTCTAATATTTTGATTAATTGATTATTTAAAGTCAGTTAAAATGGGATTTATTTTTATACATTTGACCAAAAAAAATAAATAATGTTTTTCTTTTTTTGTTAAATGTCTGCAGTCATAGTGTGTCTGTCTGTATCTTAAAACCTCTTCCCTGTATGCTTAAGTCTTTGTAAGGTCAAAAACAAGTTGTGATTTTATAGTTTTATAGTAAATAAATTGTTAGTGTGTTTGTCACAGCAAGCCTCTAACATCCGTTGCTGTTTGTATTCTTTTGGCATTGATGAAATGTGTCTTACTTGATAGCTTTCAGCACTTGTTTGGGCTTTTGAGTGGGCAGTAAGTCTAGAGCCGGATTGTGTTTGTCCTTCCTGTCAGCAATCTCAGAAAACAAACAGAAATACATGTAATCTTAGTTTAAAAAACAATTGTATTTATTGATCCTTTTAGTTAATAACCTGTTGGACAAAGTGCTTTGCTGTATGCAGTGTTTGCTGGACGCACTGGGGAAACGAATTCGATATAGACTATCCAGGACTAGGCATGGTCTTAAAACTGCATTTTAAATTTCAGCTTCACCCCGCCACATTGATCGGTGGCAAATTCAGAACAAAATTCTGTCAAAGCTGTTTATTTTTATTGTTCAACTTTTTAGGTTATTTTGGGGTTATATTGAGAATTGTATTATTATTTGCATGGGGAAAAGACACTGTGCATGGTTGTCAAAGATAAAACTGAGAACATATTTGAAACACATTTTTATGAATGTGTTTCAAATTGTTGTTTCAAATTGAACTTTTCATATTATTGACTAAATTAAATGATACAGCCTATAAAACAATTAAATTGCTCATCCCTGCTCTTGACTTATTTTCAGGTGATTTGCCCAGCCTTTGAGCCTTTGACATTTGCCAAGTTATGATTTTGATGGTTATGGCAAATTAGAATATTTGACTAACAACGCTTGGCATACCTTACTTTGCATCTAATTACTCTATTATATATTAGTTCCTGTATTAGGAATTGTATAAGTTGAATTAAAGAAGTGAATGAACTTTTGAACAATATTCCAACAATCCGAGTTTCACCTGTACCTGTGCCCTACCTTACCTCCCTGATGAAAACTAACCACAGTTGACTAGTACAATTTATTTATGATATACATTGGTGTAACAATGATGAGTTTGATTCATGTTTCATAGATCATCTTTTAGGAGTATGCCAAGCCGGGCGCAGAGGTGGCCCATGTTTTGGATGTTTCCCCGACACTCCTTACCTAACCACATGTGACAGATTTATTCAGAGGTGGCGATTGTAATGCGGCGAGGTCACACCGAAGGACTCCTGCAGCAGCTGTTTCCCATCATTGTCGCAGTTGTAAAGCCTTTCCCCCCAACACCAGCACCTGTGTTTGTGGGCGCGGAGGGAAACGCAGGACCTCCAGCATCTGCTACATGATAAATCTGCGCACACCGTCACAAATTAGAGTCTGAATGAGACACTGCGTATTATATGAATGCCTCACCATCCCAGCAGACAGGAGCTCGCCGGCGCACGCTGACAAATGGCCTCTCGTGTTCATCAATAGACTGACAAAGAGATGTTTCTGCTTTCACGTTTGTTGTCTTTGTTTATTACCGCCAGGCATTCATTCAAGCACAGATCCATTCTTCTCCCGACTGTGCAGACGCACCGCAGGCCAGAGCACTCCTCAACTTGAGCTGATTTATTCTCAACAATTTACCAGTTTAATATTTGTTCAGCAACTTTATGACGTGCTACTTTTGTTTTCGCTCGGTTTGAATGTATCGTTGCAAGACTTGATTTTTCCATTGTAGTGTTGTCTTTCAACATTTTGTTTGTTAAAAAAAAAAGCGCATACACATATTCACACCCAGGTCCAGGACATAAACATCTATAAAAATGATGTACAAAAAGAAAAGGAAATAACAATTGTAGTCTATAAACAACACTGCTAGCCTTGTTAGTAAGCAATGTCGATAACACCCACTCACAGTGAGACAAAGAGTGAGGGGAGATCGACCTTGCAGCTATCATATTTTTGGCAGGTATAAGCCCCGCCAAGAGAACCCTTTGTTTTGCCTGATTTGGTCCAAGCAAAGAGAAGTCATTCAGAAGAAGGACCAATAGAGACCAGGCCTGTTCTTTCCTGTTATTAAACTTATTGAAAGACAACCACTGGTTGAGATGTAAATACCGTGCTAACATAATTCGGCTGTATTACCAATGTATTTACACAGCCAATAACTATCTCTCAATAAGATTCAAACTTTAAAGTCATAAGCAGACAAAATTGACATTCTTTAAGTATTAAAGAGTGGAGAGCACGGTCTTCCATTGTACACATAACTAACTCTATTGAAGCGCTTTATAAATAAAGATGACCTACTTACTTAGTAAAAAGTGGAAATATTGTTGGGACGGACCAGTACTGATCTACGATACCCTTCTCGTATTTTTCAGCTTGAATCTTTGAAAAACTCCTGGTTTAGTTGTTCAAAATAATCTTTTCGACTACACCCACTTGGGGTTCCTGAATTGATTTTTATTAAACTTTGTTTTTACACAGCTTCTTCCTCGATGAAGATTGAACAGTTTAAATGCTTCAGTGAATGGTCTGCTACCAGCTTTCTCCTTATAATGTGTTTTGTATCACCAAACAGTTATCGTTGTTACTACTACCACTCTTTTACTGTTTGTGAGATTGTGTTACATTTAATGCCATACTGTAGAGCAGTCTGAAATGAAATAAAAGTCACTATGGATATGAAAAGGCCTCCAGAAAGGTGTACCTGCTCTCCCTTCTACTCCCTTCTGCGCTGAGCTTCCCCAATTTATTCAAAAATAAATCTAAATGCAATGCAGTTGGTGGCACAGTATGATGCATGGATATTGAGCGTAAGATGATTTACTAATGCACTCCTCGGAAGCTGTTGTGGAGGAGATCACATTACAGCCCATTCAATTGTTACCAAACAGGAGCACATCTCAGTTCAGCTCTGGCACAACCATCCGTCTTTGTTACCCAGTAATGGTTTCTATGATCCAGCCAAATCTCATTCCAACAAATTCATTAGCCGTGTCGTACCTGCTGCTAATCCTGTTGGAGAAGAATAAACTGTGATGTAATTCTGTACGGTGGGCTTTATGTCATCTATTAAAACTGGAGAAATCCTTACTAATAACTGTTGATTCCATCCTAGTGCAGAATGAAGATCGGAATTTGAGTGGGCGAGATGCAGACTGTGTTCGTGGGCATTAGACTGTTGTTGTTAGAGATTATCCCATTTATATATATATTCATATATACATTAATGTAGCACTTTTATTGTCTTGGTTAATTGATTAGTTGTTTAGAGAGCGATGTAAGATTCGGTTCAAAAATAATCTCAAGTGATAGATTGAGGACATACTAAGGATCATTCATACTGCACATACTAGACACGTATAGATACGTGTTGAGGCTGCTGTCATGTACGCAAATCTGTTGTTGCATGCGTCTCGTTGCATGCGTCTCCATGGAGCTTGTGAGTCGTAGCAACAGTGCAAAACATTAGCTGAGCATTTGGGGCACTGTGCGGTATAGTTTCCTGCGACCGGGCTTGTTGTTCACTGTCTGTCCTGGACGCTTGAAAGGCACAGACCTAATTATGTACATAACTGGAGTATGAAAGAGCCTTAAAAGTCGAATACCTCATTATATCAAGACAAATCTGTTATACATAGAAAAAATGCTGTTAACAATTTATTAACAATTAACCAATGAATGTTTAAAAAAATATATATACTACTACGAATGGGCACGGCGGCTGAGTGGATAGCACTCTCGCTTCTCAGCAAGAAGGTTCTGGGTTCGAATTCCGGTCAGAACAGTTTGCATGTGCTCCCCGTGACTGCGGTTTCCAATACCTCTAAAAATATGTGCAATAGTTAAAGGTGAATGATTGAGTGTATGTTTGTAAGTGCGAATGTGGGACAACGGATGCAAATTAGTCCATGGCTACAATCCGATGATGTGTTCATTAACATGTACTTTTCCAACCAAATAAACAATACATGAAAAAAATAATTGTTACCGCCCTACAGATAAGAGCATCACTAGTCCTGGTATGTTCTTGAAAAAAAGGCAATAGCTGACCTTCAATGTCACAAGAAAACGAAACAATTCCCTTTTCGGTTTGGCCATTGCCACACAGCGGCAGACAGATCAGCTTCCCAAAATAAGCTGTGGTCAAAACATTCCAGAGATCAAGACGAACGGCGGCTGGAACACTGACGAGGGAAAGCACAGACATTTGTCAATTGTACTGCTGCCTCCTCTTACTTCAACTTGATGCATGAGCTAACTCTTTGGCATCTCCAATCTGATAGAACCTTTTCTATTCCGCTGAGAGGAGGGCTTCGGAGAGTTCCAGCCTGCTCAGCTACTGAAAGAAGCTGGCAACAAGGACGATGCACATGACACATATTTTCTCCTCAGAGGGATGATGCGGGGTTATGAAGATGGGCCTATTTGTTTTTTGGGGTGCCATACCGGAGTATGTAACGTTGGCTTTATGGTGAAGAAGTTAAGAGCATCATGAAGCGCAGCTGCACAGAAGAGACATCGCCTTCTGCAACAGATGGTAGCGTAATGTAGTCGTCTGGGAACAACGCCTCTACTTTCGGCAGGAGCCAACTGAGCTTAGGTCGTTTGCTTG